TCAGTTTTGAAGCTCAAGTTCCTAGCCAGGAGAGATTGGCAGGCTGGCGTCGACAGTCTCTGAAGGGGGGCTGGGGCATTGGGGGTGGCGACAGGCTTGGAGGAATGGTGGGGCTCGTGGGAGCAGGAGATGTGCCTTAAAGCCTTATGGCCCTAGAGCCCCAGCACCATATAGCCCAATAGCCCTGTAGCCCATTGGCCATATGGCGCCATAGTCCTACAGACCACTCGCCCTATAGCCTTATAGTCCCATTAACCTATCGCCCTATAGCCTGAAAGCCCTTGCCTTATAGCCTTATAGCCAAATAGTCCGATAGCTCTATGGCCCTAGACCCATAGCTATATAGCCCAAGTAGCCCTACAGCCCGATATCCCTATATCCATATAGCTCTATGGCCAAATAGCCCCACTGCATTATATCCCTATAGTTCTATAGCCCTGCAGCCCGATGGCCCAACAGCCCTATAGCCTAATAGCTTTGCAGCCCTATAGTCGAATAGCCCTACAGCCCTATAACCCAACTGCCCCCTATATCCTTAAAGCCTTATGGCCCTATAGTCCCATAGCTCTATATCCCTGACCTCATAGCCCCCCCCCGATAAATTGCATTCGGGTTTTGCCCAGTATCATGTATGTATATAATCCTGCCCAATCTCTGTCTGTCTGTCTGGCCTCAGACAACGTGCTTCCTGGCAGAGTTGCTACGAATTGTGCGGGTGTTGAACCAGGTGCTCCATTCAGCTGTGTGTGCCACAAGCTCTCACACTCTACAGTGCTCGTCGCGGCGACACTATGATGCCACGACGAGCAACACTATGTTGACACAGTGCCACAGTAATTTAAATGCCACGCCGCGGCAACACGATGTTGTTGCCTACATACGCGCCCAGGCAAACACGATGAATGATTGCCCAAAGAGTTCTATCTTGCGCGTGGGATCGTGGCGTTCGGCTGACACCTACCAGAGCGACGGCTACAATAATCATATCATTTCCCTCGCCCCTTCCCCTCCCGCTTTCCCAGATGCGGTCTGAGTCCTCGGTCGTCGGACGGCCGCCGCTCGCAATGCGGCCCGCGAGGCAAGAAAGACGTGGGAAGTCCCTGCCTTCCACCCCCCCCAGGCTCTATTGTCCTCCTGTTCTTCCCCGCTCGTCGTCCTCCCTCGCCTCTGGTACCGTCCATTCTCCCCAGGCGCCGAGAGGCGTTGGGAAAAGCAGCTGCACGAGCCGATCCGCTAACCCCTCCCTCTGGTATCCTTCCCCCCAAAACGATGTCGTGTTTTTTTCCAGTACGCAGCCCCCTGAATCCCGACCTTTTCCTGGGGACCGGCTTATCATCATGAATCGTTTTTTGACTGTCCCGGGCCCCCCCCAAGAAGCCCCAGAGGCCGAACACGCCGAAAAACTTCCGTTTTGAAAAAATCACGACGTCGGGATTCGTGGTCGTCGTCGCCGTCGACGACGTCGTCGGCTTCGCCGCCGCCGACGCCGCCACCGCCACGCTCTCGGCGAGCCGCCGACGGGCCCGCCGGCGGCGGCCCCGCCGCCGCGGCGCGCCGCCGCCGCCGCACCTCCGGCCAGAGGGAGACTTCCGGCGGCTCCCCGGCGAGCCCCGGCGGCCGGCGCCGGTCGTCGCCGTGGTCGCTCGTCGGCGTCGCCGCCGCCGCCGCCGAGCCCGGCGCCGCCGCTGCCGCTGGCGACAACGTGTCCACTTTCGCCGCGGCCGCCGCCGCCGCAAGGACCCTCGGCGGACCGTCGGCGGGACCCCAGCCCTCCGCAGGGCTTCGGCGGCTCCACGGAGCCCAACTTTTTCCTTTGGCCGTAAGGCCTCTTAGGGCCACGGGAAAAACCATACCGGGCCGCCCAACGTTTGTTCTCTCGCCGTAAGGCTTCTTAGAGCCATAAAAAAAAACAGATCGCGGCCCTCTTGGGCCTCCGAGCCCAACGTTTTCCTTCGGACGCAAGGCTTTTTAGGGCCACGGGAAAAAATAACCCTTACCGGGCCGCCCCGCGTTTTTTCTCTGGCCGTAAGGCTTCTTAGGGCCATAGAAAAACACAGATCGTCCCAGCTGCCTGGTCCGAAAACGGCCCTCCAGGGTTCAGAGCCCAACGTTTTCCTTTGGCCGTAAGTCTTTTTAGTGGCGCTGGAAGAAGGAAACATTACTGGACGAGAAGTGGATAACCTGGGGAACGGGAGCACGAATGATGGGAACTACCGAAGTAAAGAAAGCAAATGTGAGTGCATGACCGCGAGGGCCAGGTGCGCGTATTCAGATCTACGACGTTGGAAAGCCCGTGCGGATGATCAGCAATCTACGTCGTGCTTGTGACGCCGGACGATATGTACCCATTCACAGTTGGCCGCTCGCTCTGGACTTTCGTTGTGGAGCCCGAAGCCACGCACGAAACGTCCAGGACTAGAACCTGAGCGCGCGCGTAGCGCGCGCGAATGGTTCTAGTATATATATGTTATATATACACCATATATATGTATCATATATGTGTATATATATATATATATATATATAGATCCCTGGGGGGCAGGCCCGGGGCCCACAAACAGCTGCCTCGACCCCCCATGGCGGGACGGGGGGGGGGCCTGGAGCCTCCCTGGAGCAGCCCAGGCGGTCCAAGAGTGCCCCAAAAACGCTCCACGACAGGCCCAGCAGGCTCCAACAGGCCCAAGGGGCCTCCAAGAGGGGCCCAAGACGGCTCTGGAGGGCCCCAACCAAGACGGCCCAAGACGCGCCCAAGACGGGCGAAGAGAGGCCCAAGAGGGCCCCAAGAGGGGAACCGCGAACCGCAAATTCGAGTCTCCCGCCTCCACAGGGCCCCGGGAGGCCCCAAAGCGGCCCCAAGAGGCCCCAGGAGACCCCCAAGATGAGCCCAGAAAGCCCAAAGGAAGCTTCAAGAGGCTCCCAAATAGCCCCGAGGAACCTCACAACGGACGGCGCGGACGAGCCGCACTTCGGACAGCCGCCGCCGCCGGTCCAAGAAAACGGCCTCCTGGACGCCATGCGCGCCGTGGCCCTCCTGCGGTGGCACCTCCCGCCCCAGGCCAGCGCAGAGGCCCTCGGATCCCAGAGAGAATTCTCCGTCGTCGGCGGTGTCGCTGTCGTCGGCGTCGTCGTCGTCGACGCCGTCGGCGCCCGGGGCCGCGACCACGACCACAAATGTGTGCCCAGTCTCTTGGGGCGTCCCTGAGGCCTTCAAAACGCCCCGGGAACGCGCCAAGAGAACCCGAAGACGCCCCAAGACGGACCCAAGACAGCCAAAGGCCGCTCCAAGATGCCCAAGATGCCCCCAAGACACCTCCAAAGGCCTCGCAGACGCTCTAAGAAGCTGCCGAGAGGCCCCCCAGGACGTCCCCAAGAGGCAAAATGGCCCCATTCCTTTCGCAGAACGTAGATTTTTAGCATATTTATGATTTTTCGCTGTCGGTCCGTGCTTGACGACCTCAGAAGCTCCCAAGACCGCCCCAATACGGCCCAGGACGCGCCCCAGAGGGCCCCAATACAGCCCCAGAAAGCTCCAGGACGGCCCACGAAGGGCCCAAGACGGCCCAAGAGAGTCCCCAAGACGGGCCCGAGAGGGCCCCAGAGGAGGAAAGGCACCATCGAATTTCAAGCTTTTGACCCCAAGTGGCTCCAGGAGGCGCCGAGAAGCCCTCAAGAAGCGCCCGGAAGGCTCCCAAAAGCACCCCAAGACGTTCCAAGAGGCACCCCAAGAGAGCTCCAGGAAGCAAACATCGTCCCATTCCTTTTTGGGGAAACGTATATTTTCCGTAGGTTCGCCTGTTGGGCTGTCATCGCGTCCAAGACGGCCCAAGGGGCTCCCAAGACGGCCTCTGTCTCTCTCTCTCTCTCTCTCTCTATATATATATATACACACAAACATATACATATACACATATACATATACATATACATATACATATACATGTACATTTACATACACATACACATACACATACACATACACACATACACATACACATACACATACACATACACATACACATACACATACACATACACATACACATACACATACACATACACATACACATACACATACACATACACATACACATACACATACACATACACATACACATACATGCATGCATGCATACATACATGCATACATACATACATACATATAACGGCGCACCGGGTCCGGGTCCCGGGGCCGCGACCACGACCACAAACGTGTGTGCCCAGGCTCTTGGGGCGTCCCTGAGGCCTTCAAAACGCCCCGGGAACGCGCCAAGAGAACCCGAAGACGCCCCAAGACGGACCCAAGACAGCCAAAGGCCGCTCCAAGATGCCCAAGATGGCCCACAAGACATCTCCAAAGGCCTCGCAGACGCTCTAAGAAGCCCCCGAGAGGCCCCCAGGACGTCCCCAAGAGGCAAAATTGCCCCATTCCTTTCGCAAAACGTACATTTTTAGCATATTTTTGGTTTTCGCTGTCGTACCGTTCTTGACATCAGAGGCCCCCAAGACCGCCCCAAGACGGCCCAAGAGGCGTCTCCGAGGGCCTCAAGACGGCCCAAAAGAGCCCCAGGACGGCCCAAGAGGCGCCCCAGACTGTCCAAACGGGGCTCGCGCCCAAGAGAAGCCCAAGATTGGGAAATCCAACCGACAATTCGAGCTTTCCGCCAAAAGAGGCGCCCGGGAGGCCCCAAGAGGCCCCGAAGAAGCCCCAAGATGCCTCCAAGAGGCCACCCAGACGCCGCAAGAAGGCCCCACGAGGACCCCCGAGAGAGCCCTGAGAGCCAACAACTGTTCATTTTCCGTAGATGTTCGAAGGATTTTGGTCATCTCGCCTTCTCGGGTTCCCGACGCTCGAAAACAGCCCAAGAGGCCCCCAAGATCGACCCAAGGAAGCCCGTCCGTAGCCATTTTGGCTCAAGCCGCTCTGGCGCAAGCCTTTTTTGTTTGGGGGCAATCGCTCTGCAAGTCCGCCGGGTCCTCCCAGCATCTCTCGGCGCGACACCATGGCTCGGCGGGTGGTGCTCGCGGTTGCTGTCCTTCTCGGCTGCGGCATGCTGATGTCCGCTTTTGTGCCCTTCTCGCCGATGGTCATCCGCCCCGCGGATCAGCAGCCTGCAGCGCTGGGAACGGCGATGATGCCTGACGACAGGATTGTCCTGCCGAGTGGGTGTTGCATTCTCCACGGTGATTCCAATGTCGCAATAGCTGAAGGGCAGAACTGCAGCAGCAGCAGCAACAACCAGTCACTGAAATTTTGTTTTACATCTTGCAGGGTTCGAATGCTCACCGCGTTGCTGGATGGGGCATCAAAGAGTGGCTGAAGTTTATAGGCTCTCTCGGGGTGGGTGCCAAGTTTGGGTTCCAGGTGGGCTCTTTACGTGAATTTTTGGACGAGGTACTCCCGCTATTGAAACGCATGGACCCATATCAGGCGCAACTGCTGGACGGAGTCATTGCAGAGGCCAACCGGTACAACGTTGACAAATTGAAGGAAGTATATGTTGAGCAGCTATCAGCAGGCACACGTCTCATAATCAATACTGCTGTTGCAGATATTTGTCATATTTCCACATTAAAATCTGTCGTACCCAGCCCAGCTTTTTGGGAGGGCAACGAAAAGATCAAATGGAAGTTCGGAACCGGAACGATCAAAGATAGTGAGAACGGGCAGAAAATGCAGACGTGGGGCGAAGGCCAGTGGGAAGTGCTCGAGGTTCCATGTGGCACAACAGACTATGTTATGCGCCTCGCGAACGTCCCAGAATCACCAGACTTTGTGCAGGTTGATGCCGAATCGCACGATGCACGCATTCTGACCGGGATAGATTTCACCAAGTTCAGTCCCAAACTGATTCGATGGGAAAGTCTTCAATCATGGAGAAGAAAGACACCTTGCTGGACAAACTATATAGTCATGGCTAGGCCACCATAAAAACTGATGTCGGCGCAGATCCGTTCGCGGTCCGGCCAGATGTTTTGTTCGCAGCGGTTGGGATTATAGTTTAGAGCGTCGACCCTCTGGGCCTCTGAGTTCCCATTGCTCAGCATTGGAATTGTTCGGCGCCTCAGTTTGTGAGCCTTGGCATGTCAGGCCGGCGCAGCGAATTCTAGACGCTTCGCGTATCCCCACCAGCCCGTCCAGAAACGACGCCCAGGCGAGTAGAGGGTCGTCTTGAGGGGCTTTTCGGCGTCTTGGGTGCCTCGGGGGGGCCTCTGTGGGCCGTTCGGGATACTCTTTGGGGCCTCCTGGGGGCCTCTTGGGGCCTCTTGGGGCCATCTTGGGGCCTTCGGGGGCCTCCTGGGCGCTTCTCGGGGCCTTCTTTGCCCCTTGGGTGCCTCTGGGGGGTCTCTTGGGGCCTCTTGGGGGTCTCTTGGGGGCCTCCTGGGGGCCTCTTGGGGGGCCTCTTGGGGCCATCTTGGGGCCATCCTGCGGCCTCTTGGGGCATCCTGGGGGCCTCTTGCGGCCATCGTGGAGGAAATCGATCAAAGAAGAGGGGAGCTCTAATTAGCGCTGCCCCCTCAGAAGGCCAAAATGGGGCCAAAACCATAGTAAAATCAATGATTTTGGCTTCCTCGCCGAGGCCGTTTTGGACGCTCTGACCGCTCCCCACCCCTCCTGTCCAGGTCAGTGGGGAGGGGGTAGGGGGAGGGGTAAACCCCTCCCCGAAGGGGAAGAGGGAGGGGTGGAAGAGGAAACGCCCTAAACCACCGACGCCCAGAGGGCTGGTGGGATTAGACGCAGTTCTTTTTCCCAACCATCCTGTGGTGTTGGGTCCTCGTTTTGAAGAGACAGCGCCCCGCGTTCCTCTCCTCTCCTCTCCTCTCCTCCTCCTCCTCCTCCTCCTCCTCCTCCTCCTCCTCCTCCTCCTCCTTGTTTCTCCCTCCTTCCTCCTCGACCCCCGATCGCCCCGCCGCGGCGCGCCGTGGCGCGGTGAGCGCCCCCGCTGGCCTCGGGAAGTAATATGTGTGCCGTTCGCGCCACGGCGCGTCAGGCTGCACTGATGGCTTGCAGGTGACGTCCGCCTGCGGTCAGCCCAGTGATCTGATGCCTCTCTTCACCTCCAAGAGCTGGTCGCTCCACCTTGCGCGCACATCCTTGGGCGATCGACCAGAGAGGTGCGCGCGAGGCGGTTGTGTCTCTGGCGCGAACCCCGCCAGTGCAGCTTCTTTCTTTTCACCGCGGAGGCGATCGTTTATTTTATTCCGCCTTCCGTGCGCACCCGTGGGCAATCGACCAGACAAGTGCGCGCCAGGCTGATGCGTCTCCGTCGGAAAAAAAATCAACCCAAGGAAGCCCGCGAAGCTCCCAAGGGGGCGCCAGGACTACCCAAGAGGGCCCCACAACGGCCCAGGAGGCGACCAGCACGCCCAGGAGGACCCCAAAACGGCCCCACGAGGGACTCCAGAACGGAAGCCCGAACCGACCATTCGAGCTTTCTGCCCCAAGAAGCCCCGAAGAAACCCGGAAGAGGCCCACAAGACGCCACAAGAAGGCTCCAAGAAGACTCCCAACAGAGCCCCAAGAGCCCAAATTCGTTGATTTTCTATGTGTCTGTTGAAGGACTTCGCCCTTCTCGCCTTGTCGGCTTTCCCAATCTCCATGCCGGCTCAAGGGGTCACCAAGACCGCCCCGAAACAGCCCGAGAAGCCCCCAAGAGAACCCCAATACGGCCAGGAGGGCCCCAACACGGCCACAAGGGAGGCCCAATATGGGGGAGCCTGAACCGACAATTGGAGCCTTCCACTTCAAGAGGCCACCCAGGAGGGCCCAATAGATTCCCAAGAGGCCCCCGAGAGGCCCCGAGAGGCCCCAGGACGGCCGATGACGTTCGACGTACGCCGTACGACGAGACCCTCGCGGTTTGGTTGAAGTCCCTCAAGGAGCATCAGAAGAGGCAGTCGTCAGGTGGGCCCTGGGGAGTTCTTCCGTAGCCGATGTCGGTAGAACTGTTCCTCCTCCCCTCCTGCTCCCCCTTCTCCTGCTCCTCCCCCTCCTCCTCCTCCGCCTCCCCTCTCGCTCCCAGCGCCTTCTGTTCCTGCTGCTGCGCTTACTCGTTTGGACCCGGGGAGGGGTCTAGGGATCCGCTACAGGAGACGAAGATTACGACGACGACGACGACGATGACATTACGACGACGACGACGACGACGACGACGACGACGACGACGACGACGACGACGACGACGACGACGACGACGACGACGACGACGACGACGGCGCGCCCCAATAGGCGACGACGACATTACGACGACGACGACGACGACGACGACTACGACGACGACGGCACGCCCCAACAGGCTCCCCAAGACGCCCCCAAATCCATGCTCCCAGAAGGCCGTTTGAAGTTTGGGAGCCCGATTCATACGGCTTCCGCCCCCCTACACAACCATTTCCTCGAATGCCTTTCGGAATGCAGACTGGCATGCGTGGACTGTGGTCCATTACTTCAGTGGAGCAGTGAATTCGTCAAGGCCTGGGGCCTGCTAGAACCTGAGCGCGCGCGAAGCGCGCGCGATGGTTCTAGTATCTCTCTCTCTCTCTCTCTCTCTATATATATATATACACAAGGCGTCGGTGTTTGGGGGACTCCCACGGTCTCCATTGAATAGGGTCTTGGGAAAGTCCATAGGAGCTGCTGTATCCGAGCCGCTCAATCAATCCTAACTTGACGTTCCCGATGGGTGGACAATGCAGGGCGAATGCAGAAAAACGTGGGTGGTGGCCGCGCTAGGCGAGCACAAGTGGGAAACAACAACATGCACACTGCAAGGGCATGCCTGGCAAGCCAGAAGATGGGACTTCCGATTACTCAGGCCTGCTGTGTAGTAGTTGGATGCAGGGGCGAGAACGAACACAAGAACACACACGTGTATGTTTTATATAAATGTGTCGTTGCTTACGCGCCGGTGAACCCAGTCGACCAATGCATGGCAACGAGACACTTTGAATGATTACGAATCACGCCGACCATCAAACACACTCACGCATACACCACACCATTTTTCGATTTGACGCGTTCATGCTCCAGTCGACGGGTGCACGATCACGATGACGGGACGCGTTTACCACGATTGAGACGGTATTGCCCGTCTTAGTTTTCTTGTTGTGGGATGTGTGGCCGTGGGCCGCCAACCGCTTACCAACACCGATGTTTGCCTAGGCCATCCTGGCCCAGCTTGACGTATACGCTTCCCTGGGCAACATCAGGCAAGCGTATGCGTTGGTCTTTGACTCAGTGCTTCTTTGGCCAGGTCTTTTTGGTGATGCCCGGTCGTTGGGCGGACGTAAGTACATCTGGTCGGCTCGGACTCCTTATCGGGATGGTAGAAATCGGTACTGAAAGATTGGTGGCGAAGGCGGACAGCAGTTCTTGCCCATTTTGAATGAGACACGTTGTCGCTGTCCCGCGGACGTTGTCCGTTCGAGACAGGAGATCGCCTGCCTTACAGCGGCCGCTGCCGCTCTGGGGCAACATCCGTTGCTGGGCATCGTACACTCTCCGTATCCACTTCAGGCGTGCGAATCTTCTTCTCCCAAGCAAATGTGCGCTCACGCGCGGCGTCGGTGCCCTCGTCGTGAAGCCGTCGTCGGGTGCCCTCGCGCTCCCCCCCGAGGCGGACGGCACAGTGGACGCTGTGGGGTCGCAGCAGCCCGGCGGCGCTAAGGCTGGGCGTCTGTTGCCGCAGTGGCCCCCCCTTCCATGGCGCCCGCGGTGCCAGTGAAGGAGTGGGCCCCGACGTCAAATATGTTTAAAAAGGTTAAGGCGGATATGTTTCGTCGTTTTCGGCCTCTTGAGGCCCTCGCGGGGCCGCAGGGCCGTCAACAAACTATACTCGTGATGAAAGCTGGTCCAAGGGAATGGGTCGAGATCTCCAGGGGTCGACGTGAAAAATCATGAAGGCGAAAGTTGATGGAGTGGGAAGTAGGGGAGAAGGGGGGCAGAGAGCAGGATAGAAGGGGGGGGGACGCGAGGAAACGCCGAGGTGGAGGGGCGGATATCTGGGGGGGCGGGGGTCCGGAATGAAGCTCCGGCCAGGGGCGGGGACGATGATGGCACACCTCCTGCCTCCGCTCTCCCCTCCCCCTCGCCTTCCCCTCTCCTCCTCCCCACCCCCCCCTCCCCGCACCACGCCGCCACGCCCTCTTCCTCGGTGACCTCCCCCCCCCCCTCCCCCTCCATCTTTGGGCGCTCGCTTCATCCCTGCCTGCATGCCATGCTCTCCTCCCCTTCCTCGGGTGGAGGATCCCTCAGCCCTCGCCTGCCCGCCTGTCCGCTCCGGCTCTCGGCTGGGCTGCGCCCTGCCCAGCGCCCCTCGACGCTGCCCTTCGTGGAGTGAGGAGAGGGCCTCGGGCGCCGGCCGCTCGGTGCCCCCTCCTCCTCCTTTCTGTCACGTTGGACAAACGTGGGCTTGCTTGAGCCGTCGCGTATTCTTCCTCCGCCTCGTGCTGCTCCTCTTCCTCGGCCCTCCTCTTTCGCCGTCGTAGTCGTCCGCCGCCTCCTCCCCTCCCAAGGAGCAGGAGGACTGGAAGTCTTCGGCGGCTCAGAGAGCGGGGGGTCAGGAGATCCCGAGGGATTCCCATGGGGGTCTGGGTTCTCCTGGCTCAAAAAGGTACGCTTGAGAAGGAGGGGGTTCCGCCCACCAAACGCTCCATCCGTCTGTGTGTTCCTCGAACAGAAAGAGAGAGAGAGAGAGAGAGAGAGAGAGAGAGAGAGCGAGAGAGAGAGAGACTTGGCAAACAAATGAGGGCGACCGATCCAGCTGGAAGCCATTCCGAGGGGTCATGCGCTCCTGACCGGGGTTCCAGCCAGTATTTCGAGGAGACAACCGCCGCAGCGACCAGGGCGCCCCAGGAGGACCCCAAGAAGAGGGACACGTAACTTATCGTCGTCGGTCCTTCCTGGTCCTCCTCTGACCCCTGACCCTACTATATACAGCTGCCTCGTCCTTCCCGCACTTTCTCGTCGCCGCCGTTGCCGTCGCCGTCGACGACGTGATCGTCGTCGTAGTGGTCGTTGTTTCCCGCGGCAGGAGACGAGGGAGGGCTAGTGCTCGCGGTTCCGTAAGCGGGGGGTGCACCATTTCGTTTCGTAGAGGGGGGGGGATCCCAGTCTAAGTGGGGAAGGCATCACTGCGAGGAGAGGGTCCCCCCCTGAGTTCAGGGGGCGGGGTCGAACAAGGGAGGGGTGGAGGGCTCAGTTCGCAAAGGGGGGGGGGTATGCAATATTCTTGAAGGCAAGCGACCGTGACAGTCAACAGTTGGCTCTGTCACAGTTGGCTCTGGGGTTCTCTCACAATCGCCTTTCGCATATCCCTAACTAGTTGGAAGAGCGCCCAAAACCTATCCCATGACCCAACCGCTACTCCACCCGCGAACCTCCCACGACTCAGCCGCGACCTCACAGTCAACGCGCGACCCGACAGCGATGCACCACCTGCGACCCACCCACATTGTTCTGCAGAAGAATCGCCGCCGAAAGTGGATTCGCCGCGCGAACTACCCATACTGGTCTGCAAAATGCTGACCGTCTTCAAAAACTCTGCGCCCGCGGACGTGGCTCTGGCTTCTTCACACTGGTACTCTCGAGCCCCGCAGCCCGGGCACGGCAGCTCAGGCCCCCTGTCCGCAGCTGCGGGGGGTGGGTCGGCAAGTCAATGGCTATACCCAGACGCCTTGCGTCTCGACTTTATTCGAGACACGGGCCCCCGACCGCTCGACCATTTTCCCGGGACCAGTTCATCATCCCGAGTTATTTATGAACGGTCCCGAGGCTCGGTAAGGGCCCCCAAGGCCGAAAACGATTCAGGCCTTGGCAGCCAAAGCAGACGTGGACGTGAACCCCGCAGAGATTATGAAGCGCGCCAGCACCGAGGGTATGGTGAGCGAAGAAGTGGTGGAGAGTACGCTCAGACCAAGGAATGGCGATCCTCCGTTGGAGTCGGCGGGGTCAAAAGGCACAGCAAAGCGCAAGGCCAAGAGCGACGGCCAAACAATACAAAAGGCAAGTGCTACGATGGCAAGGGCCAGACGCGGAAAAAAAACAAGACCGACGCCCAGCGCCGTTATGACAATAATGGTGACAAGAGCGACGCCCAGCGCCTTTACGACAAGGGCAGTGCAAGGCGACGATTACGCCAATTCCGAAGGGTGGCAAAACAGGAAAAAGATAATCAAACCCTTTGGGAAAACAGGACATGGCAAGGGCAATGCCAAACAGTGGAAAGGCTATTCTGCAAAATGGTGAAAGGAGTGGGCACATTAAATTTCAAAGTGCTTCAGAAGTGCGGGGAAGCGAGCCCAGATGTCTACATGTGTGGGACGCGGTCAGCTTATCGGTTCACCGCCTGATAGCGGGTGTGTTGTGCTGTCTTGTTAAACTCCTTTTTACCCTGCATAGAAAGCACGTCTTGCGAACACCCAGGGCCGCAGACCTTGCCCGTGTTCACCAATCCATGAGTAATTTGCATCACCGTCAAGAGGGGAAGTTATCTTATGCAGTGGAAGCCACCAACCGTTGGTTGCACCTGAGAGCGCGAAGCCGCATCATATCTGCAGGTCCTCGCAGCTTTCTCTTCTGACCGAGTTGCATCTGCAATACAGTGGGGGGCCATGCCAAGAAACAGCCTGCTTGCCTCTAGGTTGCCCTGGGTTTCGATGGTCTAGCTATGGAGAGCGTGGCGTTCCCACGCCAAACATCGATGGACGTCCTGGGGTCTCAGGGCTGGGTTTCTTGTGGAAGGTTTCCTGTGGAAGGGCCCTTTTCTGTATTTCACAATTGGCATCTGGCAGGCGCGCCGAGTAGCGAGAGGAAGTTTATGCAAATAACCGCCATTCGGCTTCAAATGTCTCTGGCATTCATCGGGCTAGCGTTTGACATTTGGAAGTCGACACGGTTGGTATTCCACCCAGTGGCAAACATGGATGATATTGTTCGGTGGCACAACAGCATGCTTTGGATGCGCGTCTGAAGCTCTTCGGAGGTCCTAGTCACCCGGGGGTAGATTGCACGAGTGACACTCCAATATGATGCTGCGACGGCTTCAAGGGAAACGTGATTGATGTTGGTCGAATATCCAACGACGCTTCATCGTAGTGCCATTCGGTTTTGAGTTGGGCCCACACTGGATACAGCAACATAGCATCGATGTAAAACACAAGGTACGTTCAGGTCACGCGAGCACGGGAGATCCAATGATTGGCGCAATTCTTCACGTGTCTTGTACGGCGAAGCGAAAGCTGAGGTAACCTACGCACAAATCACGCGACGTTCGCGATCTAGTCGGTCTGGGTGGTCGAGTTGAAGTTGATGCGGACTACGTGTTCGTCCACTTCGACCTACAATTTTTTGAGTGGATCACGCTAAGAACTGGTTGATGAGTCCAGCAAGCTACTAGATGACCCCGAGTAGAGGAGAGTTTGCAGACTTCTTCTCCTGGCTACTCTTCGTAAACAACTCATCAGTGCTAAAGGCACGGGTCGTCCTTGGAAGGTAGAGCAAGGCACAGGCATGGGTCTCCAATGTTCTGGCGAAGGGGCCGACCTCGCTTCCAACAGCATGGTCGGAGCTCTGCTTGTGCTTCAACCCGAAGTCAGAAGACACCGCGGTGTAAAATTGTACGGCGGAAGCAGAGATGATGGGCTCATCGTCGTTGGGGCGGCGTCATAAGTGGCTTGCGCGGATTCTTCGCAAGGCACAGTGTGAAGAGGAGGATGTTTTCCAACGTCGGGTTTGAGAGTATATCGATCGAGGCCACCACGACGCTTGATGCAGAAGTGAAGAAAGATGCAAGATGGAGACGATCAGGCAATTCTCTCCGTTCTGCCACGCGAAGCCTTCTGCCATCTTGACCCCCCTTGTCCACCTCGTCTGCTCACCCTCTCCGCGTGCGCATTGCACCGCCCATCGCAATGACTCAGTCGCACACGTCCTTGAATAGCGATATGAGGGCCTTAGAAGCCAGCAGATCGCAGCTTTCCGAACCCATTCGCGCGACAAGCTATGTCGAGTGTTACCTAAATCCTTCGTCTGCCAACTACATCCCGTGTGAACGACGGCTTCAGCATTCTTCCATGATGCAGGAAATGGGCGCGTGCAAAATTTAGCCGCGTATTCACGGAGGCCGAACGGTTGTTTGGCTCGAGCTGGTTCAATGCCCTTTGCGTGTTGCATATGGTCATAAGGACATTTGTCGCGCAAAGCAATGAGTTGCTCTTCGAGTTCAGGCAGCCGCACCCTCAGCGTGGTGCATGGAGGTTGGTTGAGGCCAGTGGACGTTCATAGTCCTCATAGGCCTGGCGCGACAAAAGCCCGACGACCACATTTGTTGAATTTTGGCTCAGGGCGCTGAAGCGACGAGGCCAGACCGGAGTGAGTTGAACTTCGCGGGGGCCGTTGCCACGTTGAAAAGATCGTTTCGTTTTATCGAGTCAGCGCGCGACCCAGCAGCGACGCACAACCCGCGACCCACTTACACGGCCTTGGGAAAAAAACGCCGCCGAAGGTGGATTCGGCGCGCGTGCTACCCATAGTGGCTTGCAACATGCTGGCCGTCTTTGAAAACTCGGCGCCTGCGGCTGTGGTGTTGGCTGCTCCATTCCGGCACCCTCGAGCCCCGCAGCCCTGGCAAGTCGGCCCAGGCCCCCAGTCCGCAGTTAGCTGCGGGGGGGGTAGATTAATGGTTCTGCCTAGACACGTTGCGTCTCGATGTTATTCTAGACGCGGGACCTCTCAACCATTTTCCGAGGACCTGCTGTTTATCCCGCGCCATTCGTTCACATTCCTGAGGCTCGGTAAAAGGTCCCCAGAGGCCGAAAACGATTAACATTTATCGCCCAGATTTTTTCGAGATGCTGGCTCTTGGCGGTAAAGCGACGGACATGGTCCGAGCTTTTGGCCTTCGGTGCTCTCCGACCCCCTTTGCCAGGGACCCAACCATCTCTCAGGCGGCCTCGGTTACCAGCGGACGGTCCCGCAGGAGAGGGCCGCCACGAGGCCCTCCCTGGGCTTCTTCCCCCCCCCCGTGGGCCTCTCCGAGAGCAGATGATCCCCAGGGCGTGTGTTAGCCCACCCCTCGGCCGGATGGCGAGGGGGGGATCAGGACATGGGGGGATGAGTATCCGGTACCGTTTTGTTGAGGTACAATTTGTACCTTCTCTTCGGGTTGCAAGTACAAATTTTACCTTCTCCCCCCCTTTAACATCCTCGCACATGTCGCGGACGTTGTCAAAAGTACAATTTGTACCTTGTTTGCGTGGCGTCGGTACAACTTGTACCTTCTCCGTGGGGCGTAGGTACAATTTGTACCTCGGTTGCGCCTCTCTCCCCATCTGGACTTATCCCCCCATTTGCATCCCGCCAAACCCCGCCCCGCTCCACCGACAGCACGCGGCCTGTGCTGCCTGCAAGGCTTCGATGTCGTGTCGGCGGGCACGCGTTGACGCGAACACGAGTTCCTTCGTGGGCGAAACACATATCCGTATCCGCGGCCTCGCGGGCCGGGCCCTCGCGACCCTGGGGATAAGGGGCGTTTTCTTGCGGATGCCCCGGCTTTCGGCCCATTCCGCCACCGTGCTTGGGTTTTGGGGGTGAAGCCTATTGGATGTTCGTTGGGATCTCGTGGGTGGTTTCTCGGGGGCCTCTTTTGGAGGCAGTTTGAACGCCTCTTGGGGGCCGTTTGGGGTCCTCTTTCGGGCCTCTTGGGGGTCTCTTGGGGGTCTCTTGGTGGCCTCTTGGGGGTCTCTTGGTGGCCTCTAGGGGGCCTCTTGGGGCCGCCTGGGCGCCTCTTGGGGCCTCGTGGGGGCTTCTTGGAGCGGCAGGCTCAGATTTTCGGTTCGTGCTCCCCCTTTTCCTCTTTTGGGCCCCTTTTGGGGCCGTCTTGAGGCCCTCTTGGGCCGTTATGGGCGCCTATTGGGCTGCTTTGGGGCCGTCCTAGTACGTTTTGGGACCTCTCATGGAGGCCTTTTGGTCTGTCTTGGAGCGGTCTTGGGGTCCTCCAGGGCCGTCTGGAGCGTCGGGACGCCGAAGGTCTTTAGGAGTGTTGGAGGCCTCGTGGGCCGCCTGGGGGCCATCTTGAGCGTCTTGGAGCGATCGTTCGGCGACCCGGGGCCTCCCTGGACCGTCTTGGGGGATCCTTGGGGGGCCGTCTTGGCCCGTCTTGGAGCCCCCTCGGGTCCGAAGCAGCCATGTGACAAGACGCGGGCCGCGCGCGGGGTCCCTCCCCGAAGGATGTGGCCCACGTCGCTCCGAACCCTCCAAGAAGTCCTCAGGAGTGACGCCTCCTCCTCCTCCTCCTCCTCCTCCTCCTCCTCCTCCTCCTCCTCCTCCTCCTCCTGAGGCTCGGAGGGGCAGTGGAAGAGCCGAAGGACACGCCCACTCCGTGCCCAGCGGCACGAGGGCCACGAGACGGACGTGTCCGCCGCCCGGGGCTCCCCGGGGGCAGCGCAGCCGGCTCGCTTTGCCGGGCCAGAGCCGCGCGAGGGGAGCCCGGCCGTGGCCGCCGGGGGGCGCCTCGGGAGGCGGCCTGGTGGGCCCTCGAGCCCGGGCGGCGGCAGCGGAGAAACGCTCGGGAGCCCTGAGACTGCAGGGGTCACTGCAAGCCGGGGGTCAGCCAGAGCGCCCGATCTTGCAGGATCCGCAGGGGCAGCGTCGCATTGGCCCCGGTTTGGGTGCAGGATCTGGCAGCATCTGGCAGGATTCGTCGCATTGACCCGGGTTTGGGTGCAGGATCTTGCAGGATTCTGCCAGGCCTGATTGGCCCGGGTCTGGATTGACCCTGGTCAGAAGATCCCCGAAACGCCAGTGGTGACTGCATACAGCGTTGTGGATGGCCTGGTAGACGCAGAGAAGACAACGTCATCCGCCTTCCCTCCCTTTCGGAGGCCTAGAGGTTGGCACCAGTACCAATACGGCGGCGGCATTGGATAAGAAACGTCTTTCTGGGGCCCAGACCCTGGCGCATTCCTCATAGTTTCAAGGCGAGGTGAGTGGCCCGCGTTTGGTCGCCCATCGGTCGCGAGACCCTGGGTTCCTTATCGAAGGTATCCTTATCTAAAACCTCCACCGTATTGGCAGAGCACCTCCACCCAGGGAAGCTCATCCCGATCTCGGCGATGAAGGTAAGATTCGGGCTTTCTAGGTGGCCGAGAGATTACCACCAAAACCGAAATCTGGGATCATTCTCCCCAGGTGGACGCACCCCCCCCTGTTTTGGTGTTAGTGCCTACTCCCAAGCCTCCAGCTCCTTTCCTCCCGCTTCCCGCCTGCTGTCTCCGACTGGCCCATCTTCCGCCCGCCCGCCCCGCCGGCCCCGGCTTCCCGCCTGCGCGCTCGTCGTCGTCTGCTTGCTTTTCCCTCATCTTCCCCCTTCCGCCAGGCATCACGAGGAGGAGGAGGAGGAGGAGGAGGACCAGAGTGGCGGCGCGTAGGGCTCTGGTAGGGATTGCGTCAACCCGCCACGGCATCCGTCATCTTCAGAGAGGTTTCCGCGCGCTCCCCGCACCGCCGCGGACGGTGCCCATGTGAGACGGAAGGCCGCCTGCCCAACAGCGACCGCTGCCAGTTTTAAGTCGGGCCTGTCCCTCTACAGGAGGAATGTTCAAACATAGACAAGAATTAGTCGGGGGACGATTGTTGCACACTTTTTTACTATTCGGTTGCATTGTTTGACTATTTCTTATTTGTCGTGCAACATCCGCCTGTAGAGGGACACGCCCGACCGAATGCCAGCTCTGGATAACATCTCTTGTTGGGCATCTTACCCATTTTTGCCCGTACCCACTTCGGGCGAGCAAAGAGGGGGTTCGGCGGGAGGACGCACCGAGCGCCATGCGCACCCACCTTCGCAGCCTGGCGCCGTGGACGAAGGAGCACCCAGTCGTGGCGGCGAGGGCGCCCGGGGTGGTCCGACGCCCTGGGGCCCTCGGCCGTACCGCGCGGCAGCGAAGGGCCGTCGGCCCGCGCGCCAGGCTGCCTCGCAGAAGCCGGGGGCCTCGTCGACCGACAGCACGCTGTGGCTGCTGCGGCAGCTGCGGCCCGTGTCGTACTCCTTCAAGAAGGGGGCGGAGTCCAAGTACATGCGGTTCGGTTTCATAGGCCTCGGGCGACGCCCTCGGGGCCGAGGGCTTGTCATCGCTCGGACGTGTGCGTGTCGTCCTCGGCGAGGACCATCGAGGAGCATCATAGACCATCTCGCAGCACACGCACGCACAACATCGAAGCATCCACGGGGAGGGGGCGTCCGAGCGATGGCAAGAGGGACGGGCAGGGGAGGGCGAGCGGCCCAGACGCCCTCGAGTCACGAAACACGGAACAACAAAATAGGACAGAGAAATGATCACAGCGTGAGGGTTTTAGCCGTGGGGCTTCTGGGGGCCCTGACGTCGCCTCGGGGCCGTCAAGAAGCCACGCGGGATGAAGCACTGGTTTCGGGGAAGGGGTCGTGGCCTCGGGGGTCGACACGATGACACAAATCATGACGCCAGGGGTCTGGGGATGGAGGGGCTGAATGGGGCAGGGGGAGAGTCGGGTCGGGGCGTTTCTGGTGTCTTTGTGGGCCTCTGGGAGCCAGTATGGGGCCCAGAACGGTCAGACATCGACCCGGCGTGAACAACCAGCCAGCAATTATGGATTCTGGGGGGTCCAGGGACTTTTTAGCATTTGGTGTCCTTCGGCCCATCCCGTCATTGTGCCTGGGTTGTTGGTTAGTCGGGGGCAACGAAAGGAGGGGGATAATAAGGCATCGTTTAGGGGGGGACGCATCAACCCCAAATCGCCCGTTCATCGCCGATCATGGTCCGAGAGGCGCCTTGTGGGATTCACCATCGGGGGCCCATCGCCGATGTATCGGCGATGCATCGCCGATTCCAGGTCGATGTCCCCCCCCTATGCCCGTCCCCCTTACACACCAGTCGTTGAAAGTAAGTATTTTTGGACTCCCAGATCCCAATCTACTTGAAGCGCCTTCCTACTTCCAGAATCGATATGCTTTGGCTGTCTTTGTTGTTATCTGGGAGGGCCTGAACCAAATCTATTTGATCCGCCTTCCCACTTCATGTTTTTACCTACTTTTTCCGACCGACGTGTATCGTTTCTCCTAAGTCATAGGCCGTGTGCCACGTCGCGGGGGGCCTCTCGGGGACCTCGTGGAAGCAATCTTGAGGCATCCTTGGGGCAAACTTTTTCGGGCCTGGGCCTCCGGTGGCGTCTTGGGGGCAAGTTTTGGGGGCATATGTGGGGGCCTCCTGGGGGCCTCTTGCGGCAGAAGACTCGGATCTTCAGTTCGTTTGAGGAGGAGAAGGTGCCCAGGCCGCTACTTTTCCATCGTTTTCCTCATTTTGGGCCCTTTTTGAGAGGCCCCCGTCGCCACCGCTGGATTCGCCCGAAGTTCTTGGGCAAAACGCACCCCGGGAGAGTTCTGGGGAGCAGCGGACTTTTCGATTAACCCAATTCGTGTTCCCTCTCTTGGGCCCTACTTAGCGGTGCCTTCAGGCCGTCTTGGGCGGCCTGAAGGCAAGCCCCAAGAGATTCGAGAATTTTGGGCCCAGGCCCTTACAGGAATCCTCAGCATTGAAGACTGAGGCTCAGGGGTTGAACACGGCACCTGGGGACATTCCACTTCGTGCCACATGGGCACGGTTGCGGATATGTACTCATTGTTTCTTCTAGTAATTCCAGTAGCAAAAGCAGCAGGTGAAGGGGTATTGCGAGTAGCAGAGGCAGTACCCGTTATTCGAAGCATCAGCAGCATTGGCAGTAGTGAGGGTGTCGGTGGTAGCCGTTGCCGCAACATGTATGGTGGGTTTCCCGTGCTTGGCCGCACATCCCCCGAACGTCCCCGAGACGGCCCCTAATTAGAGCATGTGTCCATCAGGGTCCAGACCGTCCCAACAGGGCCGGGGAAGTCCTGGAATATATTTAATGACGCCCCCAAAAAGGGGTGCGGTGCGCATAGTGTGAGTGGCGTTTGCACGTCGTGCCAATTGAGTGCGTGCCATGTTTGGCATACATTGCACCACATAGCTCAAACCGCATAGTCTGCATTGCAATGCTTTCACCACAAAGCTGACACCGGCTAGACTGCCCCATATGACTTGCACCAAGCAGCTTGCACCTCATACGATGCACCACATAGCTTTCAACACATGCCTTACACCACATCGTTTATACCACATACCTTACACGTCATAGTTCGCGCAACATGTAGCTTACACCAATTGCGCCGTACAGCTCTCAAATCCAGAGTGCAATATGTCACTGTTCGGGATCCAAACTTGCAAGCTTAAAAGCACATTGCACGAACTGTCGGGTGAATGGATGGAAACACAGTTGTAGCAATACTGAATCGAAGCGCATTGCACAACAATCTTGCAGCTCCTGCCGATTCGAAAATGCTGACAGTTCTACGTCAGTATTCGTCTCGGGTTTCCGACTATACGTTGGCCAGCCCCAGGATAGAACCTGAGCGAGCGCGTGTTTCTGGTAGATGTAGATGCTCGTCGCCCCCCCCCCTGCACACATAGTCAGATATGTTCCTCCTCTGCCTCATCACCACTGCCTGGGGCTCGTGCTTGTCCCATGTTGGAGGCTCCCAGGAAGCCCCCAGAAGGTCCCAAGAGGGTCTCCATAGGCCTGATCGTATGTTTCCTCCTTGTCTTCCTCCCTCTCCTCCTCCTTGCTCTTCCTCTCCCAAGTGTTCTCCCGAGGCTCCACAACGGCTGGGGGAACCCGTAGTCCTAGCTTGGCCAGCCTAGCTTGGCCAGACTTCGGCCCACGGAGGCATTTCGGGACCGTATTGGAGGCCATGGCATCGTGGAGGTCATCTTGGGCCATCTGTGCCGCCCTGGAGGTGTCAGGGACCTTGCCTCTCATAGTATACGCGGCTTTCCGCGCGGCCAGCGGGCTGGGCGGAGGCCTATTAGGTCTTGTGTTCAAGAAGCCCATGTGGCAAGCAGGGGGCGCCGGCTCGAAGACGCCTGCGGCGAATCACCGCCGCCCCCTGCTTTCTAGTGTATGCTTATGTGGCCAAACGTCTGCGCACAGTTTGGCCACGCTATTCAACTAATTACCTCCAGCCGCTGTGGAAGCCCTTCAGGGAACAGGTTGGGGAGGAAGAGGAGGATGAGAAGAGGGAAGACTCAGGAGGATGAGGAGAAGGATGCGTAGGCTCCTTGTGCGCTTATTGGGTCATTCTTGCGGCCGCCTGGGAGCTCTCTGGGGGCCATTTGGAGGCCTCTTGGGACCCTCATTGGGCCTCTTGGGGGCTTCTTGGGTGCTTCTTTGGCAGTTCTGCTGTGCTTCTGGCCCGTCGGAAGCCGTCTTGCGATTCTCTCTGGGCCATTTCGGGGGGGGGGGCCCTCTCGGGGCCCTTCAGGGACGTCTTCACTGCCATCTTGGGCGTTTTGGAAGCCTCTCTGGCCGCCTTGGGGCCCTTTGAGGGCCTCTTGGGGCCCTCTTGGGGCGTTTCAGGGTCGCCCAGAAATTTTGAGAATTTAAGGCCCCAGCCCCTAGAATATTAGAATCCGAGAGTCCTGAGTGCAGAAAACACAGGGCACATGAGAGCCTGGAGAAAGCTCCACTTCGAACATCGCGGCACGGTGGCGGATCGGGGGCCATCTCGGGGTGGCCCTTGCGACTTACCTCTCCGGGGGCTCTCTCGGAGCTCGTTTAGGGGATTTGGGGGTCTCTTGGGCCGTCTTGGACACTCTTCAGACTGGAAGTGCGAGCACGCGAAACTGATAAACGACAGTGTTTGTCTTAATGATTTGGGCTTCTTTTGCCAACTCTCAGGGCTTTCAGTACGGCCCACGAGGCCCCAAGGAGAGCTCCAGGCCGGTTCCATTCGGGCTATCTTAGGGCATGTTGGAAGTTTGGGTGCCTTGTTTGTCATTTTGGGCCGATGCGGGAGCCATCGACTGCGCCAGAACCCCGCCCTGGGTGCGGTCTGAAACCGGCCCTGAGACGAGGGGGGGCGAGTCTTGGCCGTCGTCGTGACGCCTCTGAAACATTAGAAACAGCGCGTTCTGTGAACGCTGGGAAGGGGGAGGGGGGGGGGGGCTCGAACCGCATGTGGGCACAATCGCCACCAGCAGTTCCCAATCCCAGCCAACTGGTCCCAACTCCAAACCGCGCGAAAAGCAAACTTGCCCCAATCCCACGCATCGTAAGGTAGTCCCACACTAAAGCTGATATAGAGAGTGGCTTAAGACAACTGTGATAGCCAAGTGACACCTCTCATGTCATCGCAGTCAGTCTGGAAGCCAAACTACGTGCGAGAGTTGGACTTGGCCCCAAGTTGGTTTGCGCACAAGCGCTCTGAAGATCGCTTGCGGCAGTAGCAGTCATGAAACCTATCGTAATAGTAGCAGTACTTAGAAGAGGTAGTCGTAGTACGACAACTACTCCTATTATGACTATTACTACTACCACTACTACTACTACTACTACTACTACTACTACTACTACTACTACTACTACTACTACTACTACTACTACTACTACTACTACTACTACTACGACTACTACTACTACTACTACTACCACCACTACTGAGCAGTAGTCGTTGTCGTCTTAGTAGGAGTCATAGTAGTAACGGTAGTAGTAGTAGTAGCAGTAGTAGTAGTAGCAGCAGTAGCAGTAGTAGTAGTAGTAGTAGTAGTAGTAGTAGTAGTAGTAGTAGTAGTAGTAGTAGTAGTAGTAGTAGTAGTAGTAGTAGTAGTAGTAGTAGTAGTAGTAGTAGTAGTAGTAGTAGTAGTAGTAGTAGTAGTAGTAGTAGTAGTAGTAGTAGTAGTAGTAGTAGTAGTAGCAGTCGTAGAAGTAGTAGGCGTCGTAAGTAGTACTAGTACTAGTACTAGTACTAGTACTAGTACTAGTACTAGTACTAGTAGTAGTAGTAGTAGTAGTAGTAGTAGTAGTAGTAGTAGTAGTAGTAGTAGTAGTAGTAGTAGTAGTAGTAGTAGTAGTAGTAGTAGTAGTAGTAGTAGTAGTAAGTAGTAGTAAGTAGTAGTAGTAGTAGTAGTAGTAGTAGTAGTAGTAGTAGTAGTAGTAGTAGTAGTAGTAGTAGTAGTAGTAGTAGTAGTAGTAGTAGTAGTAGTCGT